GTTAGATGGGCATTATCTTGTCTGCTTGATGTTAAGTTAAAGTCACCTTTGATGTGGTGTGGTCAACAGTGAGATCTGTGAGTCTGGCCTTGAAAAATACAAAGTAGGTCTTTGCAAGGTCTTTCTGAGGGTACCTCTGGTGAGGAGGTTCTTTACTCTTTTGAACTTCAATATAAAGCTGATTCCTGCAGACATGTGCTGACTGGGGATTGCCCAAGAGTTAGGGAGAATCTGGGGCTTCTGTAAATAATTAAGTTTATTTTTTTACTTTATTCCTTTGCTAAAAACTTTCTATCAGAAATGCATTACAAACTCAGGACTTATATTTGTTAAGCTGGCTATAAGCTTATCTATGATTAAAAGGATATTGTACACTTAAGTTCACTAGTGGTTACAAGAGGTAGAAGAGGGGGGAAGCTGGATTTGTTTCTTAAAGTAAGTTGAGTTTATGTAAACAGTGATGAAAATGGATATGGAAAACTGGTGGTTCAAATTAGAGAATGTGATCAATGTCACTAAATTGTATATACACATGAGGAAATTGTTGAGATGGTCTGGATTGTGTTATGTATGTTTGGACACAATAAGAAAAAAAACAAACAACAACAACAAAAATAAATTGTTCCTAAGGAGGAAGTTGAGCATAGTGGCTAGAAGCATGAAAAACAAAGTCACACTTTCAAACCTGGTCCCAGCTTCCCAGCTTCCCTCACTTCCTTCTCTGTGCCTCTATTTCTCTAATTGTAAAATGGTATTAATTTTAATAATTTATTTCCAGAGGTGTTGTGAAGAGTGTCTACATCAAAAGATTTGAGCATGCAGAAGCGTTCCTGGAATACAGTAAATGTCCTAGGAGTGATTTATAATTAGCAACTTTTCTCAATTATTTTTTAAAACTGATAACAGTATTTATTGGTATATTAGTAAAGAGCTTTGGTAGTGGAGTAGTAAAAGAATTTGGCTGCTAACCAAAAGATTGATGGGAACCAACCAGCCATTTCACAAGAGTATAGGACCACTATGAGTTGGAATCAACTAGATGGCAGTGGCTTTAGTTTCTTATTGCTGTTGTAACTAACTACCACAAACTTAGTGTCTTAAAACAGCATAAATGTATTATCTTACAATTCTGGAGGTCAGAAGTCAAAAATGGATTTTAAAAGGCTGAAATCAAGGTGTCAGTAGGGCTGTGATTCTCAGGGAGAATAAATTGATTCCCTTTCTGACCTCCAGAGGCAGCCTACATTCAATAGAATCACTTTTATCTTTGCTTCTATTGTCACATCTTCTCTGAAACTCCTACCTTCTTTGCATTATAAAGACACGGTGATTGCATTGGGTTCACTCAAATAATCCAGGACAATCCCCATCTCAAGAATCTTAATTTAATCCCATCTATAAAGTTCTTTTACTCTTTTAAGATCATATAATCATAGGTTCCAAGGATTTGGACATAGACAATAAGGTTCAATATTTAACACTAATCTAAGTCTATTACAGCATTATAAATTTAATAAAGATAAAAAATGAATAATAGCCCACATAACTGTATATTTTATTTATGTTATTTAAAAAATAACATTTTTTTTCCTGATAATAGGAGGCAGATGGAAATTTCCAGTGGAGAAAAATCATTCTTAATAATTT